TCTGAGCTGTCTTCTCACTAAATGGCTTATACCTTTAATGAGTACCTCACCATTATTACTCTGGACCTATAATACTTACATCATCTCCTGCATCTGTTGAGGATTCCAACTAAGAAGACCAACACCTTCTGTCATCCCATATACTTGTGCCATACCCAATGCTATATTAGTAGCCTTAGCAAAGTCATCAGCAGCACCAGTAGTAATACGACCAGTAAAGAGTTCCTCAGCAGCACGACCACCCAAGATAACAGCTAATTTATCATGAAGAGCTTCCTTAGAATAAAGAGCTAACTCCTCAGGAAGGTATTGTGCAAAACCTAAGGCCCCAGATGACCTTGGTACTATGGTAACCTAAATAGATAAGCATCGATACGTTAGTGTTGTGGAGGAGACAGTAATACCTTTAGGAGAGGATCAGCAAATTCCATCATCCAACCCGCTACAGCATGACCTGACTCATGTATAGCTACTGTCCTCTTCTCTTGCTCCGACATAAGGTTATTGGATTTAGCCAATCCACCAATAATCCTCTCAGTAGCCGCCTACTAGGTAGTACTAGTAGTAGTATAGTCATGTGTATAGTTAATGTATACTTATTATTATTACCTCAAAATCCTTCATCTCTACCCCAGATGAACTCCTACGTGCTGCATAGATAGCAGCCTCATTACAGAGGTTAGCAATATCAGCACCCGTCATACCAGGTGTCAAGGCCGCCATACGTCGGGCTACTTCGGTTACATCAATACCCTTAAGGAGAGTAAGGGGTTTAAGATGGACCTACCAGCCGAATGAGGAGGAAGAGGATGATGATAGATAGGACCTTAAAGATAGCCTCCCTATCATTAAGGTCAGGTTTATCAACAGCAATCTGTCTATCAAACCTTCCTGGTCGTATTAATGCTGGATCTAGGATATCCGCTCTGTTGGTACCAGCTAAGACTACTACTCCAGTAGTTGAGCTAAATCCATCCATCTCAACCTAAGAGAGTGGTATGAGTAGTATGATAATGAGTATATTCCTATTACTAGTATCTGATTAAGTGTGTTCTCTCTCTCATCATTGGCCCCTCCTGAGAATCCACCCTTTCCTCTCTTCCTACCAACAGCATCAATCTCATCAATAAATATAATAGAAGGTGCCGCTTGCCGTGCTTGAGCGAATAGGTCTCTGAATAAATAAGCTCCAACAACAGATAAACTCCTCTTACATAGTACTACTACCTCACTCGACTAGGACCTACTCCAACAAACATCTCAATAAAGTCAGAACCACTCATAGAGAAGAAGGGTACACCACTCTCTCCTGCTACTGCCTTAGCTAATAAAGTCTTACCTACATTATTATATATCAA